GTTGCCCTGATAAAGGAACCCTACAAGTTTGATACACACCGCACCATCTGTAACCATCGCAGTGAGAGCACCACGGTTGTTCAGGTGAATCATCAGGAATGCTCCCTTTGAGCTTGGGATCAAACATGTTTGTGTTACAACTGAGGCAACTTCTAAACACACCAAGAACCCTTTGATACTTACAAACCAGCTGAAAGCAAAAGAGATATTAAAGGCTGAAGGGGATTGAGTCACTGTACGCAGCAGCAAGAACAAACCAAGAGCTACGTCATGCGGAGCCAGGAAAATACAATGTAGAGGGCAAGTGCAACACACTTGAAAGCACATCAAAACCCAAAAGCAAACATTTAGTATATTGAAGCTTACCAATCCATAGATGTGGTGGCTGCAGAAGGCTTTTTTCCATTATGTTTACCTGGTGTTCCAGCCCGCATGTCTGTTATTTCCCAACTTCCTTTAACAGACCAAGTTGTCCAGCAAAACTGGCAGGTAGAGGGTTGAGACAAACACTGACAAGGGTGCTTACAATGGTCAGCTTTTATTCATTTAGTTAAAAACCCTTATCCCAAAAGAAAAAAAACTTTCTGCTGTAACTGCTTAAAAAGTGTTAGCTGGAGATCAGATTTAATTGGTTAGCCAAGTCCATGTCCATCTCAATCTGCTAGTGCATCCAATGCTATCCTCTCCACAGAGCTGACAATGCTGCTGTCCAAGCGTAACTCCATTGCTCCTTTATAGAATGGAAGTATCCTAATACTGGAAGCGTTACTGACCAGATCAGCAGGTGCAAATACAGAAAAGTAAAAACTAATGCAGTCATCACATTGAAGTACTGGTAAGCTGCAATATATTACACTTTATTCCTTCCTACAGAAACAGACGGAATAGGGAAAAAGAATAGTGGTGACCAGTGAGAGGAAGCAGGATAGTCCACCATGGTAGTAGACCTGGAGAGCAGTCTGACTAACAAGCGCAGAGCCAAGAGACTGGAAAGTGCCTAATGTAGAGCCCATTGTACGACGGTCACATTTCAGTATCTTTACCCCGCTCATGGACCTACTCACGAGGTTTTTTTTTTTTTTTAGGGACTGGATAGCAAAACAAGCTGTTCCAGGGCTCTGGACCTGTAAAGTGCTCTGCTGCTATCAAACCAATATATTAGATGTCTGTGGAGAGCCACAAGCAGAGTCCAGTCCCTGAGGGTGACATTATAGGCAGACCCTGCAATCATCCATCCAGAGGAGTCTGCATACATTCTCCAAAGCAGCAACAGGTATTAGCCAATCTGAATAGGTGCATAAAAGGGAAGGGCTCAGCTTAGCTGCCTTATCTGGAAAATCGTATCTGACATGACCTAGCTTTTCATGTAAACACATTACTTACTAGATTTTCTGTATTATATTTTTTGTATGTCTTTCCTTAAAATGCTGTCAAGGAATGTTAACACAATGAAGTTATGCTTACTGGTCTATAGTTACGGGGTTCTAGTTTTTTTGCCCTTTTTAAACAAAGTTACAGTAGCTGCTGTGCTCCTGTCTTGTGCACCTGCCCAATAATAAATGTTTTTCTCATTACTTAACTTAATTCTGTACACACAGGAGACTGATGAAATTTTGCTTGATTTGTTCTCTCTGCCTATACAAGGAACCATGATTGGGTCACAAGGGCTAATTTTTACAGAGCATTGACACTACTTTTGGTGCATTAGCACAAGCACGTTAACATGTATTGGGTTAAGACAGCCCATTCATTTGAAAAGTCTGCCTAATGCACCAAAAAATGGGGCACGTGCCATTTCTGGCAGCACAACAGACACAAGTGCGTTGCAATTCAAGTCTGTTGGCAAGGTGTGTTGGGGTGCCATTCAGAATGAATGGTACCACATCACACAAAACACATGGAGCCACAATAATGTGAATGGGCCCCCTAAGGTTAGGAGATTCAGCTCTACACTGCTGCTGTATAGTGCAACATGTCAGGAATTAACAAAGACCTTTAAAGTATTAACAAAGACCTTTAAATACGTATTACCTGCATTGCTATAGACCGACACTGGGTTTGGAAAGTGGTATTTCATCAGAAAATAATGTGTACGTGTTATTGTAATCTAAATGAACTTTCAAATGAGTAACAATATTTTTTGTAATCTAGATCCATCTGTTCCCTACTCCTGTATGCAAGTAATTTAAATGAGTTTACATATAAAAAGGAGGACAATTAAAAAAAGTACAGGTAATACCGACATTAGCATTTGAGATGCATCTTTCATGTGATCAGAAGACATTCTGAAGATAGTTATTCTAAAAATACAAAGGTTACTTTTACAGGAATGCTGCTGTATTCACATCTGCCGAGACTGGAGCCATCTCTGTGACGCACACAAGAGTCAGACATTCTTTACATTAGAGAACAGTGTGAGTCAGTGAAGAGTCTGTGACGTATGTTCTTCAGTTGGGTAGGTCAGGGGAACAGGGTGAGTAAAGTTTAAAAGTTCCATTGGGTATATTTTATGCAGGATAAAACAGATACACATTATAAAAGCCCCTTCCAAAAAAAAAACAAGTTTAAAAAAAATAAAATACCACGAGTACACCATAAAGTAGTTATAGATTTTACTGGGTCACATCTAAACCAATGCAAGTCTTTATAATATATGATTAAACTTTATACAATCCCAGACAGCCACAACAATGACACTAAATAAGGCCTTTATATGTATCCACAGTGTTATCCATTCACAATTTGTACTACATATTGTTAAACTGCAGTTGCATTCAAAATTGAAACGTAAAGCCAACCTAAACTGAAAGACAGGCAACTTAGAGAGAGAAAAAAAACCACGATTGCATATATATATATATATATGAAATTTAAAACATTTTTTGTAAACTAAGAAAAAATCCAGATAATTGGTAGAATCATGCAGTTTGTCTGCAAAATATAACAAAAAAAACAAAAACTAAAAAGTTCTGTTAGGGGGGTCTATTAAACAAAATGTTTGAAGAACTCCCGATAATTTTTTTTAACCCTTGCAGTGGGGCTGGCTGTTAAGAGTGCTCTGTCCAGTCTCTCCCCCCCCCTCCACTGCAGCAATAATATGACCGTAGGCTTCCTCATGTCCTATACAGGCATAATACCTGCCTGATGACTCATAGGACCTCAGACTGCTGGAGCGGAGGGGGAGAGAGTCTGGAAGGACCAGTCTAACAGCCATCCGGCTCCAAGCTTTGCGTGAGTATAACTGTTATTTGTGCACCTAGACCAAAACAAGTACTAAACCCTTACAATGTGGGGGTAGCCCCACTGCTAGAGTTAAGAAAAACGTCTTTAAGAGTCAGTGAGGTCTATAGAATGTTGCCTGGTACTGTAAATTAGCATTTAAAAGGATCTGTACCAGTAACGGAGCTGACTGGCCAGTTAGTGGTATTACGGTGGTCCTAGAATTTAAAGAGCATCACCCAAATCAACACATGATGTAGCAGTAGCCTACTGATACATTGGTATTGAGTGAAAAAAAACTGAACTGAAATAACAACCCATTCCTAGCGCCTTGGAAGAGTGAAAAAAAAAAACCTTGGCAAGTTATACAATCAAGCCTAAAAAGAAAAAAAAGGGGCCCACTTTGGAATATGTGGAATCCAGCCCAGTGTATCCAAAGGGGCTGCCTGAAAACCCCCCACTGACCGTAATGAAAGATTTTGGCCAAGGAAGCTTGTTCTGTCAGTTTAGAGTCCAGCGTGCTGTTGCTCAGCAACAGAAAACAAAGATGTAATATTCCCTTTTTAGCACATGTAGAAAGAAGTACAGAACAGCAGCAGCTACAGACGTGGTTGAGTTAGGCTGCACCTTTTGCAAAACTGTCAATTACCTTTTACGAAAATATTGTTTGGATGGCATTGCAAATATGTACACCAGTAAAAAGTGCATTCATATTATTGTGGATACTTCGCGTAAAAAGAATCTGCTTGGATCAAGTCATTTATATGTATATAGTGGTTTATGGTTCAGTGTATGAAATCACAGCTTCTAGTTCAGAATCAGTGCTTCGCGAAGCTGCAGGACTTCCTAGGTGGTAAGGATCCCAGAGAAGCTAAAAAGGAAATGGGTAAAGGTGTTTGGCAACAATATTCTGCCCACTTGATATGCTTTGTATTCCATAAGAGATAGAAAATGGTTTGATCTGGCTTTTTACAAAAGCCCACACAATTCAGAAACTGATCTACTAGTCCCTGGGCACCTGGTAAACAAGAACTATCCTTGTGAATAACAGAGGGGACTTTCACAATCAGTTTGTTGCCATGTAATTACACTGCTCATCTTAGATACAGTACGTATGGATGTGCCATGCTGATATGATGAGCTGCTTCTTTCAAGAGTTCTTGTAAGAAACACACACACAAAAAAAAAAAATATGACACAGATGTAGGTAAAGAACAAAAGCCTGACGGCAGATTAGTGTACTTCCACATTCTAATACTGGTATAAAAACCTTCATTACTGATGTTAAAGGGGCAGCACATCCAGTGACATTTTCCCGTTATGATGCGTTCCTTTAGGACTGCTATTTTTACCCTTGGGACTAGGCAAGCAAAATTATTTGGGTGCATACCATTTTCACATGTGTACACACAGCTTTCTTCACAGCATGCAATAGTATTAAGACTTGTGATGATTGTATTGTACACCTGACTGCATGGTAATAAAGGGTAACTCCTCTATGTGCTGAAAATGGGGAAAGCAACTGTAGTATGTAGAAGACTTCCCACTATAAAGTACCATGTTGATAATTTCCTTGTCATTGTAACCTTCTCTAAGTCTATAGGAAATTTCAGACGCAGGTTATCAACTAGCAGATAGGGGAACCTGAGGTATCTGCTTGTTTGTATAAAGCCGAGCTTCCCTTCTAAGCAGTACCAATGTCATCTAGTACTCTCAGCTTCTGCAACTTTTTTTAAATTAATTTATAACCTCTGCAAGTGTACCTTAGCGTGATCAGTGGCAGCACATACGGGGTCTAATCTGTAACACTGTACAGGAGACTGAGAAAAAAAAATATAGTAAAATCTTCTAGACATGCTATCCCCTTAAACAAATCATTACCTGTACATCTGTTAAGGCAACCAACTTAACTTGCAAAACAGACCTTCAGGTTTGAATAGGACCTTTTTATGGCTCACAGTCCGGCAAAACAAAAAGAGAAACATGGTCGGTCAAACTCTCTGGTGGCCGGCAAGAGCTGCAATGCACTGCTGTGAAAGTTGGCGCAAACCTTCCTTGCCGCAGGGAGAGATTGTTGTTACCAAGTAGAACTTTACAAATTTACAAGCTCTTGCGTGACAAACTGTTTTAACCGTTCAAGGTATTGTCCATACAGTTCCACATCATTGTGTCCAGCTCCTTCCACCCACAGGGGCTCCACTGGCCTTTGGCAACGCTCGAACAGTGCCAGGCCATGAGAAAAGTCAATAACTTCATCTTCTGTGCCATGGATAATCAGCACTGGAGATGTGATCTTGGAGATTTTATCAATGCTGTAAGGAAACATAAAGGGCATTACACTAACAGCTATGCCAAATAATAATAATGCATTACAAAACCAAAGTTCATGCTGTAGGCTCTGGCAATTACTAAATCAGATTATGTTGTCTCTTCCCCCACTGCACACATTATTCTGAGATGCTGTGTACAGGCTGCCAATATGCAAGCCAAGTTCTAAGACTAATAAATGCTGAGCATACCATTAGTCCCAAAGGGGAAGTACGCTGTGCTTGCACTGCACCATATACATGTACTTGTGGCAATTGTGCAAGGAAAACTAAAAAACCAACAAGAAATCATTGTTTTTGAACAAGCTACACTTGGTTACTGTATTACTGCACATCCGTGTTTTTGGTAAACTTGAGGCTTAAAAAGGACAACTGTACCTGTGGTACAACTGTCCTCTACAATTAAGGCTCAAGCCCAAGGATATCAGACTGTTGCCTTGTGAAAGCATGGTGTATTATGACCATTTGGACTGCTGTCACTACTTTTATTACACGTTACTCTTGATTTAATAAAAATGCAAGGTTAGTTGGTAAATGCTGCAAAGTATCTTCTTTATGTCACAAGTATTCTGTAAACTCTCACCAAGAAAATGGGTATTCTTGGTTGGATGATAGCAAGAGCAGGTTTAAGTGTTACCATTAACAAGGCTTGGCAGGTTCAGGAGAAAGCAGCCAATGTGCTCCTTAAAAAAAGATAAAAGGGGTCACATTTGCTCGGCAAGAACATCCAGCCAATGAGCTCCATAAATAAGATATGAGGATCACATTTGCCCCGGAAGAACATCCAGCCAATGAGCTCCATAAATAAGATATGAGGATCACATTTGCCCTGCAAGAACATCCAGTCAGGTAACAGAAGCAAGGTAAGGGTAAATCACACATTACTTACTTGGGGAATGCATCAAAACAGTACGTTTTCTTGGTGTCAGGAAAAGCTACCCTCATCCCAGAGGTAAGGGGAGAATGTAGAATCACAGCAGCACTTTCATATCGAGCAGCCAGATCCACAGAGGGGACAGTTCCTATGCTCTGGCCATAGATGATCACATGCTCTGGGCGTATACCATACCTATAAGGAAAGGTTATTAAGTTGTATTTAGATCTGCTAGCAGCTTAGAAATGATATTGTAAAGAGAACCATATAATAAACACAAATTAAAGTATTAAGCACTTAATCAAACATGCAGGTAAAGCTATACAAGGAGTATGGCCTCTCTAGTCAGCACTTCAAATTTTAAATCATTCTTATTCCTATTACCACCTGTTATAAAAAGCCTGGTGATTACACAGCGCTGGATGCAAACTACTAGGGATGCACTGATACTAGTACCGGTAACGATACAGAGTATTTGGGCGAGTATTCTTACACATACAAGTGAATGACACATACAAGTTACACATACAAGTGAATGAATCAGAGCGAGTCATCCCTTATCAAGCAGCTCTGTCCAAAGTTTCAATTAGATAGAGAGACTCAAAGCAGGCAGCTTTTGCTGCGATATCTGACTGGCTAACCCATATTGGTCTGGGAATACTCGGGTTTTGTATTTGTACAAAAAAAAAAAAACAACCCCAGAAGACTGTTTAATAGGGATGCACCGATACTAATATTGGTGGCGATACCGAGTACTTCCTGTATCAGGAAGCCAGGCAGCACGTCATTACACGCTGCCCGGCTTTCTGAGTGGCCGGGAAGCCATCTCCATGCTCCCTCGTCACTTGTGACGAGGAAGCATGGAGCCAACTTCGCGGCCAATCAGGAAGCTGGGCGCCGTGTAATGACGCAGCACCCCACTTTCTGATTGGCCGGGAAGCCGGCTTCATGCTCCCGCCTCATCTCATGACGAGGGAGCATGGAGCCAGTTTCCCAGCCAATCAGGAAGCAGGGCGCCACGTCATTACACGGTGCCCGGCTTCCATGATTGGCCAACAAGCAGGCTCCATGCTTTCTTGTCACTAAGCATGGGACGGCTTCCTTGTTAATCGGGAAACCGGGTGGCGAGTCATCACACGCCGCCTGGCTTCCTGAATGGGACTTCCGGTACTCGGTATTTGGTATCGGCGAGTACCGGGAAAAAAAAGTATCGGTGCATCCCTACGGTAACAGGTATGAGTGATCAATTTAGAAACTTAAACAAAATGAAAAAAATGACCCCAAACCATTCCCCTAATTAAACAGAATAATTTTATCATACCACAGTTGCAAGGCTTGCTGGATAGCATTAATAGTTTGAGTATATTTTTTGTCCAGCAGCCTGTAATGGTTTGTATTCGTTCTGGATTTCGCCAAATAATTCATCTGCAAGCTGTACAGAAACCCTTTGAAACAATAAAGAAACCCCTTCCTTTACTTTCATCTGCATCCAGAGAATAGTGGGGAGTCGTGTGCATCAAATAACACAAGCCATGTATGTACTTAGTTCTACCAACAGAAAATGCTCTAATGGCTTCATTAGTAAAACAATATGACTTTAGTAAGCTGAATGAAGAACAAAGTCCCTTGGGAACCTTTTTTTCCTTAGAAAAATAATTAAATTACCCACGGAGTTCTTTTTATCAGCTTTATGTTTTATTTATTTTTAAACAGTATGATATGTTACATGGGATTTGGGACCGAATACATCTAAAACCAATGCTTGTACCTGGACACAAATTGTATCCATCCTGAGCCGCAGGTAATCATTCCATTTACGATAACATGCGGACAACCATTGACAGATGCAGCCGTTGTCCGCCTATCATTCACTTGGCGCATCTGTGCGGACCCACCTGCGATTCCTGCTGCAATGATCCTCAGCCAAAGCGAATAGTCCCATGTGAATGAGGCCTTAAGGGATTCGTCAGTCACAAATTATGTTCTGGAGAGCATTTGGGCTTTTTGCAAAGTTCATAATTAACAGGACCTAGCACATTTGAGTACAGGGAGATTTCTCCATGCTCACTGTTCTGGAGACATATGTCCGACATATGGCAACTAGGGATGTTCAGATACCAAGTACCGTACTATAAATATATAATTTCCATTCATAATCTCATGTAATAAAACAGCGATGCACAAATCCCAGAAGCCCCGTAGCCAATGCTCCTTTAAAAATGCCTCCCAACTTGAGTTTGTCTCTAGTCTAGTCTTTCAATGTTTCCTAAAATATAAAATCATACAGTATAATAAAAAATGCAATTGAATATATTATGCTAGGGCCTTCTCCGCTCCAACCCCGGTAGTTCTGGTGAAAATGCCAAGTATCTGCACATCCCTAAATTGGAGAACCTTGTTTTGATACTGAAAAAGTTAACATAGTAGCTTGTTTAAGGTGTATGTAAAGCCTCATAATGAACTTCTATTTGTTCCCTAAATATAGCATTGAAAGTGTTTTGTTATATCAGTTTGATACGTGTAAAAAAGTTCCGGCTGATTTTGCCAGAAACCTTGTGAACTGATAAGGTTGTGGGCTCTCCGATTGCGCACAAGGAGGAGATTAGAAAGGGGAAGACGATGGAGAGGGCTGTGTTCTTTGTAATCCATCAGAATGTAGGTAGGCAGAGCTGACACTACATGTTTTGGAATGAAAATTCATTGGGGGGGGGGGGGCATTTATCAAAACTGGAGCAGACAGAATCCAGAGCAACTGCCCGTGCAACCAATCAGCTTATCTCTTCAATTTGTACAGGTAAACTTTGAAAATGTTGGCATTGGCAGCGGAGAGAAGGTGAACATAGGAGAGAAGTCCAAGAGACTCTGTTCAAGGTTTTAGGATGTAGCTCCTACATTTAAAATCTTGAAGTGGCAAGTTCACTTCTAGAGATTAGCCAAGTTCTTGCTAATCTCTAAAATTCACAGGGTCTAGTGCATTGTATACTGTAGTGCTGTAGCGGAGCCCTCTCTTTACGTCTCCCTATGCTCAGGGTGGGATTGTAAAGTCCAAGCCTCATGTAGGATATGCCATTTTGTTTTTATGTTGAATGCTTTCAGGTCCACTGGCAATGATGTCAGCCCCTCAGAAATGCTGCATTAGAAGGTGGAGTGTAAAATTCACTCCCTTCCATATTCTCGATCATCATGCCTCCTTGTTGCTTAAAAATTCTAGCCTAAGCAAATGTTGTCAGGCATTGGGCAGGTTGCATTTCGGTGTATTGTTAGTTTTTTTTTTTTTTTTAACGGAGTTTCTGACAATTATAGACGCATATAGAAGCTGTTGTACTTGCCAAAAAATTTCCAGTTTTGTTCTACCAGATAGCACAGCCAGGTTGGTGACCTGTTTTTCTCTACTGCCGTTAAATACAACTTCACCACCTCTCTGCCCTCAGCATGTGACAGTGAAGAGCAGACTGGTGAGGTCATCTGTCCCCTCACACCTCCAGTCAGCATTTACCTTGTCATGGAAAATGGAAGTCTGATGCTGATGGGAGAATTTGTACAAGTTCATAAGGTGTATACCAGTAGAAAAGCAAAAGTAGTTAACTCTAAAAGGTGCCCTTACACCTGATGATTATCGTACGATAATCACGGGTGATCCCACGATCGTACGATAATCTTAAGGTTGCTTGGCAGCGTGCGACCGCATTTACTGTACGGCCGCACGATTTTCGTATAACGAGCACGTTAGAAGACCCGCCGAAAATCGTACGATTTTCGGTGGATTGGTAGCGCGATCGCAAGACGAAAGCCGCCCGGCCCGAGGTGCGCAAGCGCACACTGCCCGCTCACCATTGCAATCATCTGCAAGCCCTCCCCTCAGCGGGGAGGACTTGCAATGATCGCAAGTACGATCTGCCAGTCCAAGATGGGCAGGTCGTACAAACTTTTAATTACCTTACAACCATCGCATAACGAAAGTCGTGCGATGGTAGTAAGGTGTATGGGCACCTAACCAGGCAGAGGTACTGCATGAAGTTTTCTCAAGTACTTAAAAGGAGAACTATGGGGTTAAGTCTTTTCCCCATAGTTCTCCTTAGGGTAACGGGAGGACATAAACTAGCGTCCTCCCGTAACCCTAGGCTCAGTATACAGCAAGCTGTAGCGAGCTGTATACTGAGACGCCACAGTATACCGCGAGCAGCTGCTCGCGGTATACTGAGACGCAGCAGCGGATCCCGACAATTGTGCCGGGATCCGCCCAGCTGCGTGACTGACAGCTGGGTCTGCCTATCTAGAGGCAGAGCCAGCTGTACCCGCCCCCTCCCCCGTCCATTCCGCCAGTCAGCGCTGACGGATCGGGGAGGGGGGGAATCCAGCCCCTCTCTTGTCACGGCAGAGAGCCGTGACAGGATCGAGAGGTGAGTGAACGCCGGTATGTGTTCGCTCAACTCCCGATCTACTGAGCCTACCTGTGACAGTCTCATTGTCACAGGTCGGCTAGAACTATGAGGTGAGTGGAAATCACTCATCTCATAGTTCTCCTTTAAACGTCACATAAACTGCTGATGGAGAAACCGATCTGCAGTAATGATCACAAATGTATGCATCATGCCAGTCCTATGATGTACACCACACTTTTCACAACCTTGCAGAATGTATTCAAATACCGAGTCAGCACTTAATGCTTCCGAAGTCCTGAGTCACTTCTCTGTAAGCGTACAGAAATGGGAGGAACACAATAATTACACTCCAGACACCTGGAATTCATTAACTTCCTGTCCCACAAAGCATTTATACATGCCATTACTAGGACTTTTTTTTTGATCCAGTCTTACTTTTACAAAGCAAAAGAACATGCAGTCATTTAAGCATTTTGGGGATCCGTACAATACAGTGAATTCACATCAGAACAAGCACACGTGCCTGATTTTAAACAGTATTACAAAGCAGCTCAATTAGTTAGGCTCCTAGACTGGACGTTCAATGCCTCCCATAAAGGATGGGTGACATTAGAAGTAGACTTGAGTAATACCCACCTCTCAGAATGTATCTGGACTCCACCATATACGCGGACACTGTCCCCTCTGACTTCCCCCCTCACTCTCGCCACACTTACAACATGGGATCGCCTACATAAAGCTCATGACTGGCCATACAATTCAGTTTTATTACCATTATAAAAAAAAAAAAAAACAAGCACACGTTTCTGTTCACTGAGGAGTGTTGTGTTAAGGCAATCACTTCGTTTTGAATGGGACCTCAACATGCCCCAACACAAAGCAAGTCACACCTGCACTATCTTTGGCAACATGGTGCACCACAACGCACAGAGCAGTCACATATGTTTAGGGGGGCTATAGTGGGGGCTGAGTTTTGTTTTACTGGGACAAGAATAAATGGCAATGCAGTGCATTATTCTATATTGTTGTAACATGCATTAAAACCCAGCTGTTTGTACATTATTGCAACAGATATGGTGTGAATGAGCCCTTTTTACATTTCATCTTGAAAAAAATAAAATAAAAACCTGGAGCAGGCAAGCTCAGTGTTTAAGGAGTGCCTCAATTATTCGTGTGTTCATTAGACATCCCAGATGCCATACTCATCAATGTGGATTGTCTTTCAAATTGGAGATACCGCACCAAGCTCACCCTATGAATCTGAAGCTGCCATGTAAGGACATGCACTACCTGACACATTTAGCATTCCTAGGAAGTAGATACGGTCTTGACTCATACAGGAAATACAAACTATAGGTTATAATTACTTGCCAGAATTCCCCAAACAAGAGGGAACATTTTAAAGCACATCTCCAGCCATATTTAAGAAGATACAGACTTCAGGAGAGTCAGGAACACCTAAAATGTGGACTGAAACACCCATTACTTGTAAAAGGCAGACAGGCACGATGCCCATGAGAGATCAGTAGATTATTTTGTTTTGTATTCAGCGGGGGAAGCCGCCAGAATTTCCCATCATTTGCAACTACTTTATTCTTTTCATCAATCACTTGAGGGACCATATGAGAATGGAAACCCCCACACATACAATGATACCCTTAGAGGTTTTAACCCTTCCCCCAAGCCTGATTTGTAGTTTCACCACAGCTGGAGGGCCGGAGTTTGGCCATCCCAGGTCTAGCCCTTTCCCACTATCCAAACCCAACGAAAAAAATGTTGCCAAGGGATCCAATTTTCGGAGATGTGCCACAACTTGCAGGCTGTGCATTCCTCCTACCTCTACAGTGAACAAACCGTAAATCCATAGCACAGAATCACTAACCTTGTTCTAAGAGCGATCCAAGCAGCATCAATATCAGCATACAAGTTCTTCTCTGATGGCTTTCCAGAGCTTGACCCATATCCAGAATAATCATAAGAGAATATGTTACAATTGATCCTAGAGCCAAGTCCTATATAAAAGCTGCTCATCTGGCCCAAATCTACAGCATTTCCATGAGAAAACAGCAGTGTGTACTTAGCGTTGGGAGAGCAGCGTACAAACATGCAGGCAATGCGGTTTCCACGGCTGGTTCTAGTCATGAAACACTCTATAGCGTCTTTTTCTCGGGCAGAATATTGCCAGTCCGCTCGTTCTGCCAAATGAAGAGTCCAGCGGCTGCCACTCTCATCACATATGAGAGTGTAAGTTGGATCAGGAGGTAAGAAGGCAAGTTTGGAGGCGATTTTCCCTGGACATGGTGGGCAGCAAAAGAGGCAGCACAACTCGCTGAATGAAAGATTATTCATGTTGGTTTCTGGGAAGAGAAAATACATCAATTATTACATTATTCAGCGATTATTAAAGTCACAGTATCATTTATAACAGGAAAGGTGGTTCCTAAAAGACCACTAAACATTCATGAAGAGATCTTTGCTGAAAAAAAACCGGCAGATGGTTTATTTCAAGAGGAATTTACTAGTCCCCGATGGCCAGGAAAAATGTTTGTACTGGTGACAGCGAATGCAACCATGTAATGGAAAAATAAAAAAAAACTTTATTCCAGCACAACACAACAGAAATTCATTTCTCAGACCAGAGTGCTTTGTTCAACTCCATAAACATTTCCTCTTTCTTCTGAACAGAGCATCACAGTGCATGCAGATAGAAAATGAGAAAAAGTTAGCCATTACATGAAAGCAGAAGTCCCGCTACAGCAATCTGACAGGTCCCTGCCTCGCCATGTGTGTTGCCTGTTGGACGTCTATAGAAAAACCAATGCTCTTACACAAAAACCGCAGTCATTATCTGCAGCCTCCTGCTGGGCATAGGACTTTTCTTTCTGCACATTCAAAAAAAAAGAAAGAGCAAAACTCTCAAGCCATGAGCTAGCAAATGTTCGTAGGAACATTCGATAATGCCAGAGATTTAACAAATTTTAATTAGAAATTTTGTTTGGTATTGACATTCGATTCTGGAACGTAAGGAGGTTCTCAAATGAAAACCATTCACTGTTAGAATTTTATTTGAGAAAAATTTTCCATCCTCCTCCTACAATTTTTTCCCCCATCAGTATAGTCAAAAACAGTCATACACTCACTGGCCGCTTTATTAGGTGAACCTCTTCAACTGCTCGTTAACACAAATATCTAATCAGCCAATCGCATGGCAATAACTCAATACATTTAGGCATGTAGACATGGTCAAGATGGTCTGCTGAAGTCCAAACCGAGCATCAGAATGGGGAAGAAAGGGGATTTAAGTGACTTTGAACATAGCATGGTTGTTGGTGCCAGACTCGTCTGAGTATTTCAGCAACTGCTGATATACTGGGATTTTCACGCACAACCATCTCTAAGGTTTACAGTGAATGGTCTAAAAAAGAGAAAATATCCAGTGAGCAAGAATACCTCGCCAATGCCGAGGTCAGAGGAGAATGGGCAGACTGGTTCGAGCTGATAGAAAGGCAACAGTAACTGAAATAACCACATGTTACAACCAAGGTATGCAGAATACCATCTCTGAACGCACAATATGTCGACCCTTGAAGCAGATGGGCTACAGCCAGAGAAGTGCAACTGAGGCTACACCAGAATTGTAAAATAGAATAAAAAAACGTTGCTTGTTCTGATGAATCTCGATTTCTGTTGAGACATTTGGATGGTCGGTTCAGAATTTGATGTAAACATGAAAGCATGGATCTACCCTGCCTTGTATCAATGGTTCAGTCTGGAGGAGCTTCACATCATGGATGTACAACCAACAAATCTGAACAACTGTGTGATGCCATGTCAGTATGGACCAAACTCTGAGGAATGTTTCCATCATCTTGTTGAATCAAATGCCACAAAGAATTAAAGCAGTTCTGAAGACAAAAGGGGGTCCAACCCAGTACTAGCAAACTGTACCTAATAAAGTGGCCGGTGAGTGTAGATGTGACACCATTAACTACTATATAACTGAAACAAACATTCCAAAAATAAACTTTTTCAAATATAGTTCTACTATTGTTTTGATATGTAGAACTTCTACAGTTGGGCTTCAATGGATAAGGCTACCTAAAACAGACCTATGTCTTTGCTGCCCCCACGATCATCACTATATGGCCCACTGGATCCTAAGGTTAGTCACAATCGGGGATGGAGAGGCAAAAAAAAAAAAAGGAGAAGTACACCTTTAAACACCATCCTTGAACGCCTACACTCATTTTCATGATTGCAAGGATGAAAGTTGATCAGTTTCAGAGCCCAAGACCACCTGAGTGGTCACAGCAGGAGGCTAGAAATGTTTATAGTCATTTGTGCCATGAACATAATCAAGGATTTTCAGGCTTTTTTTCTGTAAAACAACAAGGATTAGTGGCATAAAATCCCAGTTAGAACTATTTTAATGCTAGGTTGCAACACCAAAATGTGGAAAAGTCCAAGCACATTGGATACAAAATCTAGCCCTGTTTATTTACAGGAAAACTGGTTACGTTGCTTAGGAACTCTTCCTCTGGTATTAAACACAACCTAAAAGATGGGCATAATTCTATTAGGAATCCATTTTTTGTGGATGGTCTTTTAGGGATGCACAGATACTTTTCGAATACCAGTGCAGATACTTGGCATTTTCATGAGAACTACCAGGGTTGCAGCGGGGACCTGGCTTTGGTGCTCCACCACTGTCCTGAAATCATTAGTCTGTATTGTTTTAGAAAAACTGTCACATGACAATAAACAAAAATGTATCAGTACTCATACTTGTAAGTACTCGGCAAGTACCAGTACTCGTACTCGCAAAACTGGTATCTGTGCATCCCTTTATTTATATTTATAAAATCAAAATCGTACATTAAAACAGACATGTACAAATCCCAGGAGCTCCGTGTGCTCCTTAAAAATGACAGCTGCCTCCTAATTTTTGAATTTTTCTCTAGTCTAGTCTTGGAGCTCAAGTATCGGTACATGTACTCGTACTGTACTTGGTATCTGTGCAACCCTAGTCTTCATTATACAAGCCATATAAAAACAGCAGTATGATGAATGATCTATTTGTCAGGATGCTATTGGAAGAAGGATTTATTTCATATTCATAGCCGACTCCCTACCAAATAGAGGGATTCCTGTAGAAATCATTTTATATGACCATGTTATTTATTCAAAAGGCAGTTAAATAAAATTATAAATAATTTAATGGACTGCTTCCAAAATTGATTGAGTCTGAGCTTGGCCGCTTCTACGGAATAACGTAATGGTGAAACGGTTTACAATGGAACACAATTCAGACACCTTTCCTACCTAGACGAGACATGCATTTCTTTAACACAGTGTGATTCTAAAGTGCTGCAGCTCTAAATTTAACAAGGTGCAGATCTATGAAAAACAGCTTTGTTCCGAGCCCTAGTTAATATGTGGGGTTGGCCTAGCTCAGCAGAGGCATGGTTACCATGGCCACTGAGGAGTCTGCTTTCATTTGTAGTTTAAACATTGTGCAGACCAAATTCCACAGATTATAGAAATAAAAATAGAATAGCAAACACTTCTCTGTCATTTGTACTAAGGTAGCCTGATTGCATAAAAAACAGGTCTTGCATGCCAAAATTCTTCAGTGCACACTTGGGAAACCTTGGTAAAGCTAGGGATTTTAGGGAAAACCAAGCCAAATCTGCTGCACCATGCTCAAGGGGGAAAAAGAAAAAAAAAAAAAAAAGGAGTACAGCTCAGATACTGTGAACATATACAGCATTAAAGTTGACCTTTACCCCCTTTGACTAAAAATCACCTACAGCTACACCTCTTCATGCGGATATGAAATCATCTTATATTAGCTAAACAGTTTTAGTTACTTTTTTTTCTACTTCCTGTTCACAAATGATGTAATTGTACACAAGCACTGCATCCTGGGATTGCCTCGTCATCAGCAGAGCATTGCTGGGGAATCTCATCTGTAATCTCATGGAAAGGCATTTTCCTCCCCTGAGATGATGTGCATAGTAACATGTCCTAGTCACATGTGCCAGAGATCCAGGGAGTAAAGGGAGACATTCATCTGCCTTTAGTAAAAATGGCCACTCTGAGAAGAATGGGGAGGAAAAGAAAAAAGATAAGGAATACAAATAATAAAAAGCCTCCAATTATCTAGAAGTATGTGTTTGTAGATTGTCGTTAAACATTTCTAAATGTGCCTTTGTTATTTTGAAGATAGGAGTAAAGTTCCTCTTTAAAAGGACATCTCTGGGCAAACCAAAAATCTAGGTAGACCCCTGCAAGGGTTAAGTGTTCTTTTACATCAAGGGGCTAGAGTGCAGCAGATTTACTTACCTGATGCCTGCTTTCTCCTGGCAGTCAGCATCCTCTTCTTCTCCCCTCCAGCTGGTGAAATGTCCCTCGGAATTCTCAAGTCTATTGCAGGTCAATGGAAGTTGCAATAGAGGTGATGGCATTACCGGTCCTTAGGCTGCTAGAGCCCAGGCAAAAAGAGGCTGGGGGAGTGATCAAGCAATTCTCAGGGAGTTGGCAAGAGCGGGAATCAGGTAAGTAAATTTGCTTTACTTCATGAATAAGTACTTAACCCTTGTAGTGCGGGGTAGCTCCACTGCAAGGGTACGTCCTTTGTTTGCCTGGAGACAGACTTTAATAACAGTCAGCTGTACCTATACCTCAGAACAGTGGATATTCCAGGAGGAATATTTTTTTGTTTATAAATGATGCAAACATGAACTGGAATATATATAAAAAAACATAGGGTAGCTTTTAGGAGTTAAAACTTACATGTTATAATCTAAACTCCAACAGTCTGAGTAAACCATCCATTTAATCTGCATGTGCCTGGCATGCATGTCTCTCCCTCCAGTAAAACATCATGGGTACCTATTGGGCTTGACACAGAGGGGGAATTATTTATCTAAAAAAAAAAAAAAAAAAAAAAAAGCCTACAGACAGACAATGTTGTCTTATTAAAAATGCAGCACTGCAGACCATCCTGTAAACCTGCCAAACATTTACCCCAGATCATTTGTGGAACGCTATAACAAATAATGATGAGTAAATATTCTGCTCTGAACACCTGGAGTATTTTCTGTTTTCCCCGAGTTCAAAGTCAGTTATTGTAACACAATACCTACCTTGCCAAAATCTACTGTTCAGTCTACTTTGGCATAGGTCTATATGTTAGTACTTATATGTGGCTACGTGTTGGCACCCATTCCTTTCCATTAATTATGGAGAAGGCCATGTTTTTACTTTAACATTTGACTTTTGTAGGTCCTTGCAATACACAGTTGTTAGTAAATTGATCAGTCAGATTAAGAACCTTCCCTACATAACCTTTCAC